TCTACATCGCTAAGGCTGGCAGACATCACCTTCTCCAGTTCCATTGCCACACAGCTCCACGCAGTACAAGTGCCATGCGCACTTCACGTATCTCACGTTGCCGTATGACAACATAGTGCAGCAAGTCAGCATGACCACTCCATGGGTGCTTCAAAGTGGCTATATCACTCGCACCGCCTAAACCGGGTGTTCTTGATCATCCGATCATGAGTGACACACGGTAACAGCAGTCGGTTACCTTTCCCATTGGTTATATCAATACCATACGGACCGATGACATCTGTCCACATAGCGGCATCACGCCTAACGCGCGCGTTGAGATCATGCAGTAGGACTAGCCAGTCGCCGCTCAACATAGACCGTATTACGAAGAATGTCCGAGCGTAAAACTGACTTCTGGTGTCATCAGGGTAACCCACAGTGGGACCACACTAACTAATAAGTGGCAAACTTATCTCTTCCAAGTCGTAGACGAAGAGTCAGCAGTCATGCGCTGATTCCAGTCAGCGCTCCCACCAGCTGACCTTTCTGACGGTCGGGTAGTGCAAATTTCACCTCATGTTCATATATTGCTGTGGTGACGTTTCCCAACCCAGTAAAACATGTACCCAGCACCAGCCACACGTAGCTTGCGTTGCTCAGCGAGACTCGGCTCGCTGAATACGGCAATATCGATCCCGTAGCGCGCGAGTTCCATCACGAACAGTGCTGTGCGTCGCTCGAATCGTTCACTTGAGCTCCGGTTGAGTAGTGCGCGCAAATTCTAACACCAAATGTTCCGCACTTTGGATAACACAAAGGATAGCGGTGGCAGGCAATCGAACGCGGAATTACCTAGATTGGAGGAGATAGTGGGTTGGGTGAAATAAGGATGGGAAGAGTATGTGCAAAGTAAAGAAAAAAGGGAGGCGTCAGCGGTAGCATGTTTTCACTTGTTTACCCCGCTGTATGCAACAGATAAGGCGACCCTTTTCTTAAGGTCAATACGCGACAACCGATGCATTATGAGATTAGATGAGTTGTCGCAATTCGTGGTTACTTTTTGAAATAGGATACTGCCAGGGTGTCCACACCTGACTGCAGAAAGACTCGAGGCCCCAGTCAGAGCATTCGATAGAAATGTACACCCGAAAAGCAGCAGGCCGTGCACCATGATTCAGTGAACCGACTCATGCGGAATGGTGTGTCCCGGCTTAGGTAGCAGAGGCGTGCAACTCAAATCCACACAGTGGTAGCCACGAGGGGGTAGATAGGACATGAGTCCACAGTACAACATTGGGAGCAACGGGTCGACGATCAGTGAGGATCTCGTCAAAACACACACACACACACATATATATATATATATATATATATATATATATATATATATATATATATATTGCATCAGCACTACGGCGGTACGCAGTTTCGGCGCTGCGTTGCCGCGTAACCACCACCAGTCGCGCGTGGGCAGAGGATATCGCGAGATTCGCCCGGTCCCCTAAATAGGCTCGAACCTGTGACCATATGATTAGAAGCAGGCTTGTGATCCTTAAGGCAACGGGCCTACGTAAATATACCATTTTCACTTTAAATTGGACGTTCCGTGAACCACATTGGATGCTTTTTGAAACGAATTGGGCATTTTGCAAAGCTAACTGGACATACGGTAGGCTAAGCAGGAAAACAACAATCTGTTAGCAAGAAATGAAGAGGAACGCGACTGGACGATGTTCTGACCACATTCTGGTCAGGCTAATGTAACCGAATTATTTGGGCAGCCGGTATCACCACAAACTCTCTCGTTGATCGTAAACCTCAAACAAAAACGGTGACTACGTCTCCCCTTTCCCTATTGGCCTTCACGCAGCTTGTGTGCCCGTGCCTTTACGCATGAACCTGTGTGACTGTTGGAAAGTCAGACTCCCAAACAGTGTAGTGTATTACGGTCCAAAGAAATGTTATTTAGCTTTGGAGCGTCATTGCAAAGCACTCGCGATGCGCAATCTCAGTGGGGACAAGGAGTTTGACCAAGACACCAGGTCATCTAACCCTTGGAGTTACAAAGAGCCCTTGATGATTGGGCTAAGCAACTTAAGCCGAGGTCATTAGCAAACATACAGTTTATGAAGCTTGATGGAATGGGGAAACTTTTGAGGCAGGTAGTAAGGCGGATAGAATGGCTCCTTGCAAAACACCACGTAACCGTGATTTGTGAAGTAATCACACATCACACTATATACGTATGGTGGACTCCATTTTCGGATGTAATGTTGAGAAGTAGTGAGCTGTCAACACTTCAAAAGGCGGCGGTGGAATGCAGAAGTAGGAGCCGTATGCTCTTGCATCTATTATCCGAAGCAGACGCAATGTCATGTACCACATATGAGACGGTACGCAATGTGGAGCGCCCTTCTTTAGTGGCACAGTTTCTGATTACTTGACTGTGAGTATGCAGGGGATCAATTGTTTTTCCAGTACCTTTAACGACACGTACGTGCACGCAATTGGCGGACATTGATGATATTCTGGATGTGGTTCATCCCAGTTCCCTCTCAGTCACGCAGGTTCCAACACGTCTGGAAAAGCACCAGATAGCTGTTTCCACCTTCTGGGTCACGTCAGTGGCGCACGTACCTCGGTCCTCCGCAGCGTTGCGACCCCATGACTTCCGGATGCCAGCAGCTTGTGCCACTAAGCCATGGGTGACAGCCGCAGACATGCAAGACTGACAGTTTACTAAGATATAGCGGGGCTCATCTTCCACTGACATGCCAGTTACGAACAGTGCAGAGGATAGTGGCTGGCCCCCAGAGCTACGATTTTCCGTATAGAGAGATCGTTTTTAGGCACTGATATTATTCTGTCTGATTTCCAAATGTCGGAGATGCTGCCAGTAGTTAGGCACCGATACAAGACCTTTGTCAGAGGTGTGCTGTAAGCATCTGCGTACTCTTTCAGAGCGACCGTTGATAGGGCATCCGGTCCATTGGACTTGCGTAATTTCAGTCATGTGAGCTCCTCGTAAAAACTTTGACCAAACAGTTAAGCTCGTATTCGGTAGGGACACCGCATGGGCAACCGGAGTGTTCGGCGTCTTGTTTATGGGGCAGAAAGAGCAAATGCTCCATTCAGCCCCGAGTGGTGTACCCCAAGGCACGATGCTGGGTCTACATTATTGTTGATTTCTACCAAATACCTTAGCCTCTTCTGTCACCGTGTGCCCTGCTTGCAGACTACCTGAAGATGTGGAGAGCGATTAGCATCCCCAAGGGTAGTGGCTTCCTTCAACAAGAAATCAACCGCCTCTCCATGTGGTTTGCATAAGTCCGCTGTTGTGTCGGAGCCCCACGACTGCTTCCACCCACTAACGGTAGTGAGAACACCAACGACCGAGCAACAAACAATGTTCACGTAGCACGCCAAACCGGCCACCAAGCGTCTGTCTGTGCAACTCAATCATAATATCCAAATTAGGGCATATCACAGGCCATGCGGAAAGACTGGCATTCGATCAGTCAAGGTTGGTCAGTTCAAAAAGCGGGGAATCGATAAGTTACCTCACGAACGAACGAAATGCACAAAGAGAAAAGCTAATAAGCGTAAGATTCAGTATCCATACAAGCTAATCACAAATGTGATGCAAAAGTGAACGTATGCGAGGAACCGGAAGAGGGCAGGGTGAGTAGGGCAAAACTCACAAAACAACGGGGAGCGGTGGAGTATTCTTACCTCCGCTTTAACACAGTCAACCCATTCAGGTAGGTAGTTAGGAGCCTGAGTGAAAGCAGTGACGGCCGAACCTACACCCTTGATTGGCAAAGGTCCCATGCAACACTTTCCGTGAAGGACCTGGACATGCCCTCACGTTGCAATTTGAAGACATTGGACAACGCGTAAAGACTGCACCAAAACGGACTGCGCGTGCTCTGGGCACCAAAACACAGCTTGTGAATCTGATCTGAGGAGGTTGCCACTCGCCTCTTCTCCTACATCATTAGATCAATGCTAGAGTACGGCTCGCCAAACCATTCGAGGTAATGCGCAAAAAAGCGAACAAGTTCAATATGTCGCAACCAGGATCATCCCCAGTGTACGAGTTTTAGCGCACAGAGACAGGTGAGAAAGACTGCAACTGTACGCCCTCAAGTGCGAGTCAACTTCGTCATCACCTACTGCATTCTACATATGGGTGATATCCTATGTTGAGGCCACTTGCTAACATCCTGAAACACCCGCTGACAGTAGTACAAGCCTGTGGTGCTAGAGCTGACATGAGTTTCTCATTCCATGTGCTTCGAACGATCAGTGTACAATGTTTGGAACGGTTTGCTGAGGCATAGAGTGAAAGCGAACTCAGCAGAGCAGTACGAACCAGTAGTGGATGTGTATGCAGTGCAGATCCGAAGAACGATTACTCAAGGACAATGACATGTGCATTTTTGAGTCCCACATTGGTGTGAGTTTTACGCTTTGTACGGTTTCGCGTGATAAGCTCAGAGAGGATCAGTGTTGATAGGTCATATTTCCTGACTTGTTCAACGTTTTCAATCATATTTCGATGGAGTTGTGCATTTTTAAATTTCTACTTGTTCCTAACAGTACAGTATTCAGCGTAATGCAAGAAGCGTGGGTGAAAAAAGGCGACTTGCCGGCTTTTATTGCTGACAGAAAAACAAACGCTAATGACCGTGCACAAATGTATGCCAAATGTCTGTGTGAATGCCTGGACCATCGCAGTCAAAATGATGGACAATATGTTTTGATTGCAAAATCTGTCATTATGCATTCATCGAATTGTAAGTCACATTGGATGGTGATTGGACATTTCACAGCATGAGTTGGTAAGGGGAAATGTGGATTTCTCAGACAAGACAGTGAACAAACTTTGTGTATACACAAGTAGATGAAAACAATGGAGAACCAAATGCATCAACCGGGTTACATGAGGTATGAAAAGTGAAGTTTTCGAAGGGGGGAAGGAGGGGCTTGACATGCGGGAGGTCGGTTGGCCGTTGTTATCCCTGGATAGATTTGACGTAACGATGAACTGCTCTCTCTTGGTCACAATCGACGGAATGGGGTCGCATTCGTCGAAGCTCTTTGATGGCCGTCTCCGCATCCCAACCGTTCTTGCGTGCCAGATAGCAAGCCAAAATGGTGCCTGCACGGCCAAGGCCTAGTTGACAGTGTACACCAACCTTCTGAGAAAGAGTAGGACAAGAGGAAAAAGCCCGTGGGTTAAACAAATCGCCGCTATGTGGCTGTGCGACAAAAGGGCAGCTTGTTCTGAATAGGGTGAAATCAAAGAGGAAACAAGACGATGTATGTCAAACCTATTATGTTTCCCATCTTATTATATAAATAAATAGGCGGGAGAGCCTATGGTGCGCTGAGGCTCGTGGTGTCTAGATCCTGATAGATGATCTACCCACTGCTGCTACTGTTGCGCCATTGGCTCATATCCTGGACACCTCCTGGTCGCGACTGTTGGGTGGGAGTAGGGATACGCCCTTATCACTGCTAAGATCTAGGACATCAATCCGCATGAGTCAGTGAACTGACCATGTGCTAGACCCGCTGCCTTTCGGATGAAAATTTAATCGAAGGTCTTGGCTGAGGACCCGAGTCGTTCTCCTGTCAGGTGTGCGCCCTGGTAGTATCCTAGTCCATCCACTTCGAAGGTTAGGAAGTGGTCGATGGCGCTCTTCTCGTAAAACCTAGCCACAGGAGACAACAGGTCTACGGGTTATAAGCTCACAGCTCGATTGGCGTAGAGCACGAGCGCCACGCATTGTCTCTGATGGTGGGAGGGCACCTCCGGGTGTTCAATGGTTTGCTACTGCCCGCCTCAAGCCAGGCAGCCCCTGGTCAAATTGGTCCAAATCCGCCAAAACCCACCTGCGTCTCGCCGTGGTCGCAGGTGTATCCTACTACAGTCGCAACACATATATGAATCGTTCCAGTACCTCCAAGGCTGCGTGTGACGGCTGTCAAGCAGATCCCAGTCTGCATTCGCAATCAAATTCCCGAGCTGGATCTGCTCCTCACTGCCTTATGGGTCAGGTTATTGAGCCAAAGGCTCCGGGTGGAGTCCCTCAAGCAAACCTCCAAACCACCCACTGCCTTGTGAGTTAGGCTACTGAGCCAAAAGATGAGGGCGAAGTCTTTCAGATAATCCTCCAAATCACCCACTGCTTAGTGAGCAAGGGTATTGATTCAAAGACTCCGTAAGGAGTCCCACAAGCAAACCTCTGAAGCACAACGACCACCTCGCATGCGATTTCCAAACAATGCAATCGTACGCCTGCGCGTAAAGCACTCAGCATCGGATGCTGGAACTTACGCACACTACTGGATCGGAACTCCAGCGAGCACCCAAGCGACGCACTGCACACGTCGAGATGGAACTGGCGCGCTACGACATCGATATTGCGGCGCCCAGTGAAACTCGGCTCGCTGAGCAAGGTAAGTTGCATGAATCAAGTGCTGGCTACACATTCTACTGGGTGAACAACGCCGCCTCAGCACCACGTGAACATGGGGTCGGATTTGCAATATCCGATCGCCTCCAAGGCCAGCAAATGAGTGAACCAACAGGCACCAGCGCGCCACTGATGACTGTTCGCCTACGACTCGGAAGAGGTACGTTTGCCACCTTTATCAGCACGTACGGTCCGACCATGTGTTATCCTGATGACACGGGTGATCAATTTTACACTCAGCTATCCTCAGTGATACGGTCTGTGTCGAGGAGTGACCGACTATTTCTGCTGGGTGATTTCAACACGCGCGTTGGGCGTGATGCATCGGTGTGGACAGATGTTATCGGTTCGCATCGCATTGGTTCAGCGAATGCGAATGGTGACAGGCTGCTCCCACTGTGTGTTACTGCCTGACGATCAAGAACACTCGGTTTGCACTAAGTGCGAGTGATATAGCAACTTGGACGCACCCACGGAGTGGTCACGTTCACCTGCTAGACTATGTCATCGTACGTCAGCGTGATATACGTGAAGTGCGCATGACACGTGTACCGCGTGGAGCTGAGTGTGGCACTGATCACAAATTGGTGCGCACCAAACTGTACATATATTTTCGTAAATCTATGTATTGCACTCCCACCGTGAATCGGCGTAAATTTAACATGCTCTCCCTCGGTACTGTGGCGAAACGTACTAAGCTGGAGAAGGCGATGGCTGCACGCCTGTGTGGTGATGTGGACTGCATAACCACAGTGGGCGACCTGTGGCACCACATTCGCGACCAGGTGACAGCTGCTGCCGAGCAGACCATCGGGCGCGCAAACTGTAAGCGGCCTGATTGGTTTGATGACAACAATACGACGATTGGCGCATTGGTGTCGGAGAAGAATGCAGCATTTGCTGCACATGTGGCAGACCCCAGTGACTTGGGGAAGAATAGTTATTTTCGCAGAATTCAACGGTGACTGACACGAGAGCTCCGTCGCATTAAAATGCATGATTGACGGAGAAGGTGAAGCAGATGAAATGCTACAGCGAACGCCGCCAACACAAGGAAGTCTTTGACTCCTTGAAAGCGTTGTATGGACCGAGATTGGAGCCGCTGAGGACGCTGATCGATGGCAAATCAGGCGCTCTACCTGCACATAGACTGCAGATCTGGCGGAAACACTTTAAATGCCTCTTGAACAATCGTGCAGAGACCGAATGGAGTATACTGAACGGCTACAAGCAGAACGATGTGAAGACGAGTCTGGCGGACACGCCGACACTGGATGAGACGCAGAGAGCACTTGCTCAGCTGCGAAACGGCAAGTGTGCCGGTGCCGACGGGATCCCGTCTGAAGTATTGAAACACAGCGGACCCGCGTTAGTGACTGCGCTGCACCACTTGGTGCAACGTGTATGGATTGAGGAGGATGTGCCTCCTGAGTTGAAGGATGCCCTTGGGCTACCACTTTGCAAGGCCAAAGGGAGCAAGCAATTTTGCACGAATTATTGTGGCATCAACTAGCTGAGTTGTGTGGCCAAGGTGATTGCCCGAATACTGATCAACTGCCTCGGCAGTCAGGTTGTGGAACCGAACGTGGCGGAAGAGCAGTGTGGATTCCACTCGGGTCGCAGCACCATCGGTATGGTGCTTGCGGCTCGTCAGTTGCAGGAGGAGTGCAGAGAACGACACCAGCCGCTGTACTCGCCTTTTATTGATTTCACCAAGGCATTTGATACGATAAACCGCTAGGCATTGTGGCTGGTGTTGGGTAAGTTTGGTTGCCCGCATAAGTTTGAAAGTTTAATTGAATGTCTGTCAAGTGGTATGCGAGCGAGAGTGCAGCTGAATGGAGAGACCTCGGATGACTTTGCAGTTGTCTCTGGTGTGAAGCAACGCTGTGTCTTAGCTCCTGCCCTGTTTAATATATATCTTCATGCAATGATGTCCAGTGCTTTTGATGCCGCTTGTGCCTACGGTGTTCGTGTGGAGCACCGTATTGATGGTGGGTTGTTAAATATCCGTCGTTTCGGTGCGAGAACTCTAGTCTATGAGACAACTATCCATAAGTTTCTGTTTGCTGACGATTGTGCGTTGTTCTCACACAGCGCGGATGAGTTGCAGCACATGACTAGTGCTCTGGTTTCGACAACGGCCAAATTCGGGCTACCATCAACACAAGAAAAACTGCCTGTCTCTTTCAGCCTTCACTGGAGGTGCAATTTTCAATATTGCCACGAACCAGTATTGGTGCTGAAGTATTGGAAACCACCTCCCGCTTTTGCTACCGTGGGAGTGTGATGTCGACTGATCAACAGCTACACAGTGAGCTGAGTATCCGCGTGTCGAAGGCAGCAGCGGCAATCGGGAAGCTTGAGTACCGAGTGTGGAACAACCATCAGCTTGCCGTTTGCACGAATCTGATGGTGTACAAATCCATGGTGCTGTCCGTTCTTCTATACGGCAGTGAAACGTGGACGATGTACCAACGGCATGTGCGATATCTCGAGCGGTTCCATCAGCAGTGTCTGCGACTGACTTTGCGCATCGGTTGGGGAGACAGAGTTGCAGACACGGAAAGGTTGCGACAAAGTGGGACGTATGCAGTGAACTGCATACTTTTACTGAGACACCTGAGGTGGATCGGTCATGTGAGCCGTATGGATTCGGCGCGGATACCGAAACAACGCTTATATGGTCAGCTGAGTGTAGGGAAGCGGCACGTGAGGAAACCAAAGTTACGTTACCAAGACATGATCAAAGTGAGTCTCTCACGTTCTAATCTTGATTGCAGATCATGGGAATCGAAGGCGGTTGACTGGCGTTCATGGCGCGATCTTATCACGAAGGAAGTTGCCGAAGTGCGGGAGAAAGCCATCATGCATGCGGAGAAGAAGCGGCAACTGCGGAAGCGGCAAGCACCGATGGATTGTACTCCATCGACATCGAGTGCATGGTGCTGTAGCACATGCGGTCGCGAGTGCCTGAGTTAGGCAGGCTTAGTGAGCCATGAGCGAGGCCACTCGGGACCACTACCGAAGCGCCGACGGGTTCTGCAGAGAAAGTAGGCAGAACCGGACCCGCGTTTGTAGGTACGCTGAATTCGATTTACTAACCGCGTGCTTGCATGTTAAGTCTCTATTTCAGGTGGTAGGTTTTCAATTTGTCCTAATGCTTTCCTTTTCAAATAAATATCCACCAGTACGCTCTTCTATAAACCTGCACAACTCGCTTAACCAATTGTAGTTCATTTCGATAACATTTTTGTGTTCGTGTCATTTCCGTAAAATATACTTTCTGACCTCTTGAACTTATCTCGGATCCTTTGTTAACAATTTATTTCATATGCTCATTAATTTAAGATTTTTGTCACGTTTCTTTATGCATTATTCAATTTATTTTGTTTTCTATCTTTCTCTCAAGTGATTGGCTGTTGTTTGATATCCCCGGTGTGGCTGCGCTTGATGTGCATGTTGACAAGGTGCCTACCTGTCCATTACCCACTACCTCGTCCATACTGGCTCCAGGAGACAGTTGGTCGTTGCTAGAGGGGACGGAGTGCACCGTCCTTGTGACGGTGCTAGGCTCGAAGAGTGGTTCCATGCAGTCAGTGTGGAGCGGACTACGGTCAAGCCACCGCCTTGTGTGCGCTTGATTCCCCAAATACAGCGTGCTTGTGTTAACCTGTGAAGGAGTGTGGGCCGGCTCCGTTGATGAAACGTGGTTCCCATCAGCATGCCTCCCGGTCTTATTCCTTCGGGTTTACACTGGATATGGGGTGTGTGGTTGGAGCTGTGGTTGGTGCAGCGCAAGCCATCCATGGTCCTTCTGTAGGCGCAGACGTCTTGTGGCTGGCCACAGTGACAGGCAAATCCGAAACCGGATGCCGCGAACCATATATATATATATATATATATATATATATATATATATATATATATATATATATATCGGCGGTATAGATACTGCGCCATCGGAATCATGGAGTAATAGGATAAGAGGATTGAAATAAGAACAGCCGACTTTATTCCTGTCTGGTTTCCCACAAACAGTTTTTGGGTTATTTGTTTTATTAGTGGAGAGAACAGGAATCGCCGTAACACGTTAAAATTCAGGTCCGCTGTCGATGTTGATCTTGAACCTTGACTGCCAGGGTCTTAAACCAGTGAGACTCCGCGTCTCTGGAACCCCAACCAGGAAGTTGATAATAACCGATCGACGCCAACCGTTTTGTTAATGTGATTATGCCGACTCTTCAGATTGTAGGCTGCCCGCCGCGCCGCCTTCTCCAGCCCTGCCCAGCAACCGCAAGCAACGCAAACTGAGCGGGCGTGCGGCATACGTGTCCAAGCCACCACGGTCGACGCAGTAAGACGAGCGCCTGGAGTAAGTAGCCTTCTCTACACGAGACAGTGTGTTTTGCCTACAAATTGCTTGCGGGCCATGAACCGCATGCAACGGTTATGGAAGACAGATAGTCGGCGGGTATAGTCCTATAACAAACCCACCGTTTGATGGAGTGACGGATATTATGGCGATGTCCCAAGTGCCTCAGCCTAAAGAAAGCGAGATAATCTCTTGAGATATGCATCAAAATCTCATCTCTAACAGTCTTACCAAAAGTGATGCAACTTTCCAAGTAAAAAAACAACGTAGTGAAACCATCGGCAGTACGCCGGCACACTATACAAGGGCTTCGCTGCCACGCGACCACCACCGGTCGTGCGTGGGCTGACTAGACAGCGAGGACGCCCGCCTCAACATAAGTAGTGAACCTAACAGGGTGCTTTATCTCAGGCTGGGCGCAACTTCTAGCCTAACGAGTAAGACTTAGATGGTGTGAATATCAACAATGAATAGCATGAAGCGTTCACCGTCTAAAAGTGACATCACAGCTTAATACAAGCAGGAGAAAGGTAAGCGAGATAAGAAAACAACATGGGTGCCAGTACGTGGACAAGTTTTAAAGGTGGTGTGCTAGGAAAAACTCCAAGAAGTAAGAACATACCGAGCGAAGAACAAAAAAGAGTCAAGGTTAAGCACAAGCGCCAAGCAGTTACCCCAGGTGGTTTGTTGGTCCCGCCATCTAGTAGTCAAGGCAAACTAACCGATGGATACCATCGTGCTTAAAGTTAATCACTTAAGATCACAGCGTACAACGCCGTGGTGGGGACTAGGCTACCGCGTGGAGTGTCAACTAGGCCACTGGGCATTCAACACAAAGCATAGTCCCAATCTGGTGGGAGAACTGAACGACTAAGACAAAAGTTCACAGAGCGGAAGTCGAGGACAAGTTTTTTGGCCGCCACAGATGTACTTACCATGCACAATTGTGGAGATTCATTCTGATTGTAGTGAATGAAATGACCCAACAGATTATAACGTACAGAGCCTCCCAAGCACTGTAAGATCGGATGGATAATTGAGCAACCAATGTACATCAGAAAATCCGGGTTTAGTAGTCCCGCGAAATTGCTGCATGATGCTAAAAGTACAGATATCACATCCTCCAGCCAAGCGTATCAATCACTCCCCAACATATGCATCGCATCAACCAACAGACCCATTGATTTAGTTCAGTTCAGTAAAACAACGAGTACGCAGCCGCACCGCCTGTATCATCAGGGTAACAATAACTAGCGTCTATGAGGAGGTTGAAAGCAAACAGCGTGTAAGGTTGACTGTTGGCTATGGTGTCTCTATCCACTAAGTTGGCTCTTCCCGAGGCTTCGGTTCACAGACAGGGTACTCTCTAGCTTAGCTGTCTTGCAGTCAGTTGATTCATGTCTTTATGTCACGTCATTGCCTAGTTTCTCTGTGATTTCGCTTAATTGGGTAACACGGCAGTACACAATGATGCACACTGATGAGGGTGATCAACGGGCATCCGCAGAATACAACCTGGACAAGGTAAACTGTTCAACTTGAACACACTACGGGGGAGCACCGGAAGGTCCCATTCAAGACAATAAGATCAAAATACCAGCAGTGTCTAATCGATGCAATACTCCGTAGTAACACTGGTCTTAGTGCAGTGGTGTTCACAGGCTGAAAGCTCACCACGTCTATGGAGAAGAGTGCAAATGAAAAGCCATATGGGATTTGCTCACAAGTGACATAACATCCACGATGATGTGGCCACCAGAGATGAAGTAAAAATTAAGGTTAGTAGACCGACTGAACATTTCCGGTGGCCCCTCAACCCAGTCTGATGGCGGCACCTGCACATCGTAGGTGCAAAGCACGTTGCTGAAATATGCGGCACTACGCGACAGATGACTCAGTAGCGCTATTTTTGACCCGCTAAAGCACCGCTTCGACTTCCTATCCAAACAGGATCTCAGTCTTCATGCATGATATAAAAGTTAAGCATATTATTTTTATTTCGGTTTTACACCTTTCGTTACCCTACGAACATGTAAATGTATTGCACTGCAGTATAATAGTTAAAGTGTTTCGCATCTCTCGATAACATGTATGATAGCAATCATAAGTGGAGCCCTGATCGCAATACAACAGAGAACTACAACATTAAAATGCAAACGACACCAATACTCACTTCGTTTTTAGCCTCAGCGTCTTCGATAATCTTCATCGCCTTTTGAATGACTGGAAGGCTTGCGGGTGTCAAGTCGTCCACGGGCAGGTGATGGTGAGAGATGACTGAACAATACATTTAAAATGAAAGGTGGTAACGGACTCATGACAAAAACTGAATAAAGCGGTTTTCAGCCAGGGACGACTACAGTAATAAAATGAGCACGTTTTAATGCTCAAGATGTGTTGAAATTCAGATCATAACGAGAACGTTCCATTAACCAACAAAATGCTGAAAGCGTTAACCAGTAAGGGTTTGGCAAAGTTAGTTTAGAGAACCGTTTATTCTCAGACAAAAGGCAAAAATGCATTAGTAGTGGGTCGGTACGTCGCATCGACGCAATCACCGTCATTTCTCAGAGAACATGAAAGAATGCTAGGCCAAATGAGCTAGAACCGGATACCTATGAACTATAAATCAGACATGTGATGATATTTTGTTATAATATGTGTAACTTTTTGTGCATCTTGAAACTTTTGACTCTACCCTCATATATATATATATATATATATATATATATATATATATATATATATATATATATATATATATATATATATATAAACACTGGCGCACTGAGCCTTGTGGTGACGAGATCCTGACAGATCGTCGACCCGCTGCTCCCAATATTTGTCGTGGACTTATATCCTGACCGCCTCCTCGTGGCTACCGTCGAGTGGAAGTTGGGTTATACTCATTCTAGCTAAGGGCCAGGACATACATAATTCTGGGTGAGTTGCTTCACTGACTTAATGCGTACGGCCCGTTACTTTTGGAGTGTAAATTCTATCGAAGGCTTTGGTTGAAGACCAGAGTCGTTTTCCTGCTGGGTGTGGACTTCCTGTCTAGTCCAAGCTTCAAAATGAATCAGGCCAATAATAAATAAATAAACGGTGTATTGCGAGACAGACCGATTACGTGGTCTGAGCATATGGTATAACATATTCACATAGTGAAGAAAACTGCCTAAGTGTAACAATGTTCCAACAGAAGTGTTGGGTTTGCAATCAATTAAAAGTAGTGCAAGAAAGAGCTGATAGTAAGAATAATTGTAAGAATGGTCATCAGTTCAAGTAAAGTACTAAGGCCATCCATGGAACCGTCCCCTGAGCATCTGCTTCCATGCGGGCCAGTCCCTCGAGTGGTTTCATCCGCACTTCCACCTTCCATCTGGTCATGTGCTGTTGGGCTTTAAAGCAAATAAGCCTCACTATTTTGACTCGCTTAATTTATTCTTTGTTTTGCCTGCAAATATATGCATCACATTGGCACTTCTTTTTCTTGGACAATATTACAAGCAAATAGGCCATCAATAAGCCGACCTTTCTTGCCTCTATCGTGTGCAATTTTGTTGTCATCACGTTTACTCAATATCTTCTTTTCGACAGCTGTATATTTCGAGGCAATCCCGACACACACCGCCCATTCTCTCATGTAGCTATTTCGAATCGATTAGTTTCAAAATGTGCTAGTGAGTATGTGGCAATGCCTCTTGCGTGGGTGTAGTAGATAGGTAAGAATCTTCAGTATCTCAACTCAGAAGATCAGCCCAGGAGTGGCCAACAATGACAAAGAAGAAAACAAACGGAAAAATGACTAGAGCTGGAGAAAAAGAATGGTAACGATAAAGCAACGACAGATGGTGGTTCAATTTAAGATGTACGTAGGGATCATAGAAAACAAATAAACATCCGAAATATTCATTTAAAGGAGAGTTCTCAGAGAAATAGTGCGATGGCTCCGACAGGTGTAGATGATCGAAAAGGAGAGATCGGCTGCACAAGTTCATCCTACATTGCTATGAGGGGTGCTGCGAATACCCAGTTCGTTTCCTCCAAAAAAGAATAAAGGACAGTTAGTAGGGTAAGATACGTGAGAAACGTCGGCCATCGTGTAGTGGCACTAGGAAAGGGATCGTCTTGTCTGCTGCATACAGTGGCGTGGATGAACGAAAACATGCTACCGCTGACGCCTCACTTCTTTTTCCCTGCACATACCCCCCGTCCCCATACACGGGTGATTTCCCGACACAATCCTATGCCTACGTGCGAAGCGCCCAACATCGGGGGTTAGAAGGTGCGCTAACTGTTCAAGTGGAACTCGAGTGAACGTCCCGAGCGACATAGTGCACTAGACGCGATGGAACTCGCGCGCTACGGCATCAGCATTGCCGTAATCAGCGAGACTCGGCTCGGTGACCAAGGCATGAGGCTGATGCTGGGTAAATGTTCTAGTGGGTGGGACACATCACCACAGCACCACGTGGTTGGCGGCATCCGGTTTCGGATTTGCCTGTCACTGTGGCAAGCCACAGGACACCTGCGCCTACAGAAGGACCATGGATGGCTTGCGCTGCACCACCCACAGCTCCATCCACACACCCCATATCCAGTGTAAACCCGAAGGAATAAGAACGGGAGGCATGCGGATGGGAACCACGTTTCATCAACGGAGCCGGCCCACACTCCTTCACAGCAAACACAAGCACGCTGCATTTGGGAATCAATGTCTAGTGAGCCATGAGCGAGGCCACTCGGGACCACTACCGAAGCGACGACGGGTCCTGCAGAGAACGTAGGCAGAACCGGCGCAGCGTTTGTAGGTACGCTGCATTCGATTTACTAACCGCGTGCTTGCATGCTAAGTCTCATTATTTCAGGTGGTGGGTATTCAATTTTGCCTTAATGCTTTTCTTTCTCATATAAATGTCTACCTGTACTCTATTCCATTAACTTGCACACCTCGCTTAAGCCAAGTGTATTCGATTTCCATAACATTTTTGTGTTCGTGACATTTCCGTAAAGTATACTTTCTGACCTCGTGAACTTATCTAAGATTCGTTTGTAAACAACTTATTTCATATGCTCATTAACGTAAGGTTTATGTCACCGTTTCCTTATGCATTAATCGAGTTATTTTCTTTGTCTCTCTATCTCTCTCTCTCAAGTGATTGGCTGTTGTTTGATATCCCCGGTGTGGCTGCGCTTGATGTGCATGTTGACAAGGTGCCCACCTGTCTATTACCCGCTATCACGTCCATACTGGCTCCAGGTGACAGTTTGTCGTTGCTGAAGGGGTCGGGGTGCACAGTCCTTGTGGCTGTGTTAGGATCAAAGAGTGGTTCCATGCACTCAGTATGGAGCGGACTACGGTCCAGCCACCGCCTTGTGTGCGCTTGATATATATATATATATATATATATATATATATATATATATATATATGGCTGCTTCCGTTTCAATTTACTGACCCAAGTCAATAAGGCGATCGATGTGGTACGTGTGTCGCGGTGTCGTTGCAATCGGTCTGTACGTGTGCCTGCGTGTTGAGATTCTTGCATTTCAGGTGTTGGATGTTGATTGATATCCATGGTGTGATTGCGCTTCATGTGAGTGTTGACAAGGTGCCTACCCGTTGGCTACCCACTACCTCACCTATACTGGCTCCAGGAGAGCTAATCGTCACTGGAGAGGACTGGGTGCACGGTCCTCGTGGCCGTGCTAGACTCAATGAGTGGTTCCATGCATCCAGTGTGGAACGGGCTACGGCCCAAACACAACATTCATACGTCTGGTACGCATGATTCACCAATTAGGCATGTATGCTTCTGCTCTGCTTGTTGAAATAGTGCAAACCGGCTCCGTTGCTGAGACGGTGCTCTCGTCCGCATGCCTCCCGGTCTTATTCCTTCGCGTTTACACGGGATATGGGGTGTGTAGATGGCACTGCGGGTGGTGCAGAGCAAGCCACGCATAGTCCCTTTGTAGGCGCAGGTGTCCTCTGACCGTCCGATGGAGGCCGCATTGACAGGCAAACTCGGAAGCCGATGCCGCCAACCATATATACGACTGATGACTCTTCGCTTGCGACTTGGATGAGGTAAATCAGCTACTTGCCTTAGCGCGCGTGGTCCCAGCGTGTTACCCTGATGACACAGGAAGTCAGTTTTGCACTCATCTACCCTCCGTGACACGGTCTGTGTCAAGGAGCGACCGGTTAGTTCGACAGGATAATTTCAACGTGTGTGTTGGGCGTGATGCAACGCTGTGGATAAATGTCATTGAGCCGTATGGTATGGGTACAACCAATTGTAAAGATAACCGACTACTCTCACTGTGTACCATTCACGATCTGACGATCCCGAACACCCGCTTTAGGCGGTGCGAGTGATAGTGCTACTCTGAAACACCCACGGAGTGGTCACGCTGATCTGCTGCACTGTCATCGTACGGCAACGTGAGCTGCGTGAAGTGCGCATGAATGTGTACTGCGTGGAGCTGATTGTGGCAATGACAACTTGGTTCAGACCAAATTGTACGTACATTTTCATAAACCTCCCCTGCCGTGAACCGGTGCAAATTTAACGTTCCTTCCCTACACAGTATTAGGAAGAGGATGGAACTGGAGAAGGCGATGTCTACCAGCCTTAGCGATGTACAGTCCATCGCCTCCGTGAGCGACCTGTGGCACCACAACTGTGGACAGGTGAAGGATGCTGCCAAACAAACTTTAAGCGGCCCGATTGGTTTGATGATGACATTGCGATCATTGGCACATTAGTGTCGGAGAAGAATGTAAGGACCGCTGCACATGTGGATGACTCTGCTCAAGTAAAAAATAGTCATTTTCGCAAAATTTCATGGTGCATTACTCGAGAGCTCCTTCGCGTGAAGGATGCATGTTGGACGAAGAAGGCGAAGCAGTTGCTACGTCGAACGACACTAAAACATGGAACTCTTTTACTCCTTGGAAGCAGTGTATTGAGTCACGTTGCAGTCACTGAAAATGAGCTACATGAGACTTCAGACGCTGTCTGCACAAAGACTGCAGACATAATGCAGACCTGGCGAACGCACTTCGACTGGCTCTTGAACAATCGTTCAGAGATTGACTTGGTTAGGTTGCACGGGCTGCAATAGCAACAGTTGAGGATGTGACTTGCAGACACCCAAATAGTGCTTGAGATGCAGAGATCACTTGCTCCAAGTCCGACGGGGTACCGCCGGAAGTGTCGAAATATTTGGACCCACATTGGTACATGCACCTCACCACTTGGTGCAACAGG